TTCTTTCCTTTCACTTGTGATGTTTCTTATGATTCCTGACTCATGTACATGTTCCATGTACAGTCTTCATTGTTAGTGACTCAGCCTGACAGGTTGTAGGTTTCACCTGGATAAAGACAGGAACTATTGTGGGAGACCATCACCGAACATCTAAGAAAGAACAAATAAAAGAAAAGATAATTGGAATCAAAGACTTTGGATTCAAAAGTCCTTTTGGCCAAGACATAGAAAAGTTACAAACATGTATTTTTATCTAAAAGAAATGAACCTGACTCACAATACCTAAATATTTGTTAAATCTTTATCTCTTTATCTGGGTGTGTGCACGTGCGTGCATTTGTGCATGCCTGCTTTTGTGTGTGTGTGTGTGTGTGTGTGTGTGTGTGTGTGTGTGTGTGTGTGTGTGTGTGTTACATAACATCTTCAGCGTGCAGGGTATGGGGTATACATTGGCCATCTTTACACATGCCTGCTCCTCTTGGCCACACTATAAATAGGGCACATTCATATCTCTTCCTCTTCTATCAGCCTTAGTATAAAACAAAACAAAACAAAACAACCAAATCCCTTCTGATTAACTGACCAGTCCAGTCCACATCTTAGTCATTTTGGAGCCTAGGAGGTAAACATTCACTAATAATTTGCATTCACAATTTAGTAAGTGTTTTGGGGTGGCTTCTAACTCAATAGGAATTCTTAAAGTACAGATTTTGAAACACGTGAATCTTGATGATGATTCAGGATGTCTGGCCTTTTGAGACAGAGCTTTAAGAAGGTAAATGTTAACAGGAACATCTTAGGACCAACAGCAAAATGATGTCCCTAGGGACAGCAAGAGATTGTCCCTGGCTTAAATACTACATGTTAGTATACTTTGATTCATTTAGGTGTTACCTAGATTTGTTCTTCAGGAGGAGTTCTGCTACACACCAACATTTTATATTTTACTGAAATATCATGAAGACTGCAACCACTCTAGTTTTAAATTACTCTACGTAATTGTTCATTTGATGGCTCCACACTGGTAGATTTTTCTTACTAGAGTTTTTGATAATGTAACCATGTTCACTGGAGTTCTTATCATTTTTGCCTGTATCTTAATTAGCTCTATTTTCAGAGATTCTGAGTGGCTATTTCTACAGTAAACTAATATTTTAGGTGGGTCAAGGATAATGCGATTTTAAACTGTCACCTCTATTCCACAGTTTCTTAGGTCATTAGGGTGTGTGGGGTGTCTTCATTTTACATCTATATTTCATTTTTACCACAAAAGCTTGTTTTATTTTATTACACTTGATAATGTGTTTTGATGGCATTGTGAATTCTAGTCACCATCAAATGTGATACATTTCTGGTAGACATAAATGGTAGAAAGGGGATGTTTCCTATTTTCTAAACATTCATGGATTTGGTGAATAATAACTAGATTCTGGAACCTTCAGAAAATGTGCCATGCTTCTTTTCTAAATTATGTAGTTTTATGATTCAGCAAACCCACATCTGACAGAGGACTGACCACCAAAATATACAATGAACTCCAGAAGCTAGCCACCAAAACATCAAACAATGCAATTAGAAGATGGAGTGCAGAACTAAATAGAGAATTCTCAATAGAGGAGTCCAAAATGCCTGAAAGACACTTGAGAAAGTGCTCAGCATCCTTAGCCATCAGGGAAATGCAACTCAAAACCACTCTGAGATGCCATCTTACTCATGTCAGAATGGCTAAAATCAATAACACCAATGAAAATCTATGCTGGAGAGGATGTTGAGAAAGACGAACTCTCCTTCATTGCTGGTGGAAGTGCAAACTTGTACATAACTTTGGAGATTGGTATTCTGGTTTCTCAGAAGGATGAGAATCAGTCTACCTCAAGATCCAGCAATCCCTGTCTTGGGCATATACCCAAAGAATGCACACTCATACCATAAGGACATATGTTCAACTATGTTAATAGCAGCATTATTTGTAAAAAGATAAGCATGGTATGTACTCACTCATTTTTGATTTTTAGACATAGAGCAAAGGATCACTAGCCTACCATTCACACTGACAGAGGTGCTGGGAAACAAGGAGGACCCCAAGAGAAGAGTGCATAATCCCTCGAAGAAGGGGATGGGAACAAGAACCCCTTACCAAATTGGAGACCAGGGGCAGGGAGAGGAGGAAGTGTCTTCATCCAGTTGCTGTTCAAAACAGAAACAGACACCCACAGCTAAGTACTGAACCATACTATTGGAAATCAGTTGTGGAGAGGGAGGAGGGTTGAGCAAAGAATGAAGATGGGGATGGAGAGACCTGCAGAAACAGTGGACCTGATCTACTGATAGCATGGAGACCCTTGTCATAAAGCTGGGGAAATAGCATTGGACCAAACCAATGCCTCTGAATGTGGGTACCAGCTAGGAGTCCAAGATAGTCTATGGGTCCTCTAACAGCAGAGCCAGTCTTTATCCCTAGTGCACAAAAGGACTTTGGGAGCCCATTCCCTATGGAGGGATACTATTATAGGCCAGATACAGAGAGGAGGGCCTAGGCCTTCCCCCAAACAATATGACAGACTTTGAAGGTCCTTGGTGGAGGGCCTCACTATCCCTGGGGAGGAGTCGCAGGTGGGCTGGGGTGGGTTGAGTGGGGAACTTGGGAGGATGGGAGGGTAAGGGAATGATGGGATGGATATGTAAATATGAGTAATTAAAAATAATTCAAAAATTCCTAAAGGGGTATATTATATCTATTTGCCAGTAACTAATAATAAAAGAGGGTGAAGGTGAAAAATATATCCTTGAAGTTGGCAAGCATTCTTCCAATGAGAGAATGTACTGCTTTGTCTATGTCCAGGGTGGTGGTCTATATTCAGATTCATATAACTGTTGAAGCTCCTAGTGACAGCTTTGATTCTTACTCCTGGTAAGAGCTGAAGGGAAGAGGAGAGGGCTTTCTATATAATGTCTGTAGCCTGGTGAAGTTAGGATTCAGACTCCTTTTAATTACTACAAACACTCTGGAGGCAGAATAGCATGGGGCTTACACTTATGGAAAGTTTCTTATGGAATGATCTACATAAATAGACTGAGCAAATCATCCTGTTATCAACTAGGTGTGGCTACTGATAGCCTAACTTGAATTTGGCAGTTCATTGACAACAAAAGAATTTCCTTAGAGGTTACAAAGAAGTAAAGATGCTTAGAGCCATGATGAAAACCTCAGTGTGACACTGGAATCAATAGGGTGGAAGTAGAGGATCAACTGCTGAAAGTTATAGTCTGACCGCCACTGATATACTTGCAGTCAAACACACACAGACACACACACACAGACACACACACAGACACACACACACACACACAGATAAATACACACAAACACACACGAAGATAAATACACACAAACACACACACACACACAGAGACACACAGACACACACACACACAGAGACACACACACACATGAACACAAATACACACAAACACACACACACATTCAGCTTACACACGCACTTCCAATGATACACATTCAAACACACATACTAAATAAATACACTAAAGAAGGAGGAATGAAAATCATATAAATATAGTGTGCTTGTATATGAAAACATTCAGAACCTTTTTTAAAATTTTAGGAATTTTTTAAGTTTACCTAGAAAAATCAATTAGAACAAGTCAGAAATATTTACTTGCTGAGAAAATAAACTAAATGCTAACATTTGAAACATAAAAATTAGGAAGTACAAAAGGTTAAAAGTAAACCTGGACTTGACCCTTAGTAATTATTTTTGGGAAAAGTGATTACTAGAGAAAATTAGTTTTATTTGATACCAACAAATGTTAAGCATTTTCACGTAATTTCTAACTTTATGTTTACACTACCAGATTACTTTCAGAATCCTTGCATTTTGCATGAAACCATATGAGGTGCCTTGTGTGAAATGTACACTAGAGTTCATTACATAGAATCAAAGGAAGCTGAGCTAAATCCAGGCATCTGACTCAGGTTAGACAATGTTAGCTGTTCAACATTTAGCCTTCTGTCAAACAACATCCCAGATTAGAGTACCAAATGAAAATAAAATATATCACTGTCCTTTTCTCAGTCTCATAGAATCATATTGATATTGAAATTAGAGCAAAAAAATAAATGTGTACAGTTTGGCAGAATCAGGCACAGAAGGTGAATAAGGTGTGTTTGCAACCTTGATGTATCCTTAAGCTTTCACCAAAGTATAGTGAAATTATGTAATTAAGGGCTCATTGGGATTACTCTATGTAAGGGAAACAGTGACAAAGTAGTGAACTCTCCTGAATGCATAAGATTAAAAAGCAAAAATAATGAAGTCCAAGATTTAAAAACTACTAAGAAAGAAAAAGTGACTTCAAAGATTTAAACTTTTATTGAACACGAACACACACACACACACACACACACACACACACACACACACACACACAAACACACACACATACACAAACTCTCAGGAGTGTTCATGTTAAGTTTATGAAGTGCTTTTCATCTCAGTTGTAGATAGAAATTCTACAAAGTCAAAGTCCAAGCCATGACCTATAAAAGAGCCTAATGAAGTAAGCAAGGATGGAGGACATGTATTTAGTTACTTTGACCTGGGTTTATATATTATTATCATTGTGATTCACAAGGGCAACATTAGCCACAGGATATTACCTCTAGGGTATGTTTTAACATCCTTCACATGGATGTTTAGAGCCTTGGAGGGTTGGTTAAAGTTTACACATAGCAGTACTATCTCATGGGACAGAAGCTGGATTTCAAGATCATAGCTTCAATTTTACCCTCCTACCAAGCTCTATTAGGAGATATTAAAGGACCACATTTGTCAGGGGAAGGTTTGTAGGCCTGTGTGGCTGACAAAGAGAAGGCTCTGGGGTCTTCACTCATGCTTGTGGCTTTATTGGAATGTAGCTTACTAGAGTCCCTACAAGAAGTGGACAAGGAAGGAGCTTGGGTAGTGTTAGGCATAGACTAAATGCAGGTGAGATCTAAATAAAGAAAGCAGACAGTCATCTCCAGAACCAGAATTGTCCTTTTAATAAGATGAATTGTAGGACACAATCTCTGTGGAAGTGGAGACAGTGTGCAATGGCTTAGGAGTTTTGGGGTTTTAAAATGGAAAATGGGGAACTTTGCAGATGGTCCAGTCCATCTACAGATTAGTTCCCCTGCAGTAAGGAAGTAGTAGACACCAGGGGGTTGGTTTCGTGGATCTACTTAGTAGGAACTTGTAAAGTGTCATCAATCAAGTCAATGTTTTTGTCAACAACTTTGCAGTCCACCTGAGGATTTTAGGCAATTAACCAACACTTCATTCCAGACTTTGAGGACAGATAAAAATAAGGGGCAAGTATTCTCTTCTTGGCTACTTTCTTAGCCGGCTAAATGTAGCTGGTTTTGGTTATATGATGAAATATTCTTCAGGAAGGTTGTATAGGGAAGGCTTGTAGAAGAGGGAGGCACAGAGAAAATCCTGTGATGGGATGCAGGTGTCCATAGATAGGGCCCCATTGATAGGGTGGAGGAAAGATTTGTATTGTGTCTCAAAGAGCCATGCTTATTTGACACAGGTGAGTAGAATCAGAATGGGAAGGATGCCAATATTTGGATAAGCTGGAGTACAATATTAACCCATCATTAGGGATTGTAAAAAGAGTAAGGAGATGGGAAGACACCAAAAAAAAAAATAGAGTTGCCTTGGAAGGCCTGTTGTGAATTTAGGATCCTGGAAGTGGTCATTCATTTTGTAAAGATGTAGCCTGACAAGGTGTGGATTGATAGTGATAAGAGGTCAGGAGTAACCCAGGAGTACTGGGACAAACAGAGCCAGGAACTGGATGAGAAAGTGGAATTTGCTTCCTTTAGGAGCTGATGAGTTTTTTGGTTTTTTGTTTTTTTCTTTTTTTTCAGGGTACTCGGCTATTTTACGCAGGGATTGAAGGGAAAGGTAAGTTTAGAGTCCATAGATGGTTCATAATCAGGGGGACAAAAGGGAAATAAAAGTCTTGTAAAAAGACTATTTTTCCTCAAAACATTTTGATGGAGCAGGACACTATTGGGTAAGGGTGGTAGGGTGTGAACCCAAGGATTGTAGTACATGAGTATAAATGAATTCTTGGAGAAATTTTTCCTTCCAGGTCTAGTTGTTCAAGGCAACAGTGACAGGGGTCAAATGTTTAGGGACAAGAGTCTAGTAGGGGAGGGGCATGGCACAGAGTTTAAGACATCAAAAGTCTGGTGCTAGGAATCTAGGTTTGTTCCTTTAGGGATTCCTGTATCAGTCTACCAGGAGGACCTTTGCTCCTCCAGGGCATGCTGGTTTCTGCTCTCCTCACCCAGAAGCCCTAGCAGAAGGTCTGCTTGACCACAGATTCCCTGGGGAATTTTAATGGTGTTGTTTAGTAGATGCTCATTTATCATGTTTACTATGGAGAATTCAAGTGGATTCTTTTAATTGTGGAGTGTATGCTTCTATGTCTCCTCCAGCCCAGTATATTCAAGTAATTATTCAAAAGTTATATAGTAAATATGAATATATTTGTTGCTAACAAATTTCTTTTTATTTTCTGTGAAAAGCACAATTGGAGAACCCACCAGGGAATTCCCACAGCAAAATCCTTTTATGGAAGAGCAAGATTTGATGACCCAAGGAACCATATTTTCAAATGAAATAAACTAATACTAAATGTATCAGGTATGATTCAAAAGGTGTTATTCAGGAAGGTAAAGACCACTAATGCTCACAGACCACACCAGTTTTGACAATGATCAATGTTCAGACCACAGGTCCTTAATGTTTGCAACTAGATATACTGTTCCAGTAAGATCTTCATGAAAGGAAATGCTCTGTACCCGTTTCATTTTGTAGAAGACATGGTTAGAAATATCAGGAGAGATCATGTAAGCGTTTGCAATAATATAACCAAACTTCAGTGGCTCTACAATACTAAAAACTGTGTGAATGCTCAGTGGGGACTCTCAGTAGGCAGAGGCATAGTGGAAACACCAGTGACTTTGAAGTTAGAAGATCCATTTCAAACATCATACACTGTTGGGAGTTTTTGTGGCAGGAGATAGCATGAAATGTAACACATGTTTATAGAAAGTGCCAGATAAAGGTATAACACCAACTGCTATGAGGTGTTAGAGTGAAAATTATGAAAGCCACAAACTTCCTGCTTGTCAAAGGCACTTTCAAGATGCTTTATTCTTTGTCCTTATTGCTAGAGAAAAATACCGCTAATCACATTTCTAGGTATTACCAATTTCCCATTGTGACATAGATTGATGGACTCTTACTTTGAGGAATATGTTAGAGAGTTGGCTCAGTTGGTAAAGTGCTTGCATGCAGGCATGAGGACCAGACTTGGGAATCTTCAGCCACCATGTAAAAAGTTGCACTGGTCTGATGCATAGGTCTGTTAGGAAGATTTGTGAAGATCTCTGTGAATTGTTGGCCTGAAAGCCTATCCACGCAGGGAGCAACCATTCTCAGAAAATAAGGTAGAGAGTGATTCAGAAAGGAATCTAATATTTCTAATATTAATCTCTGTTCTCCACATGCATATGCATGGATGGATGTGTGCACAAACACACACACACACACACACACACACACACACACACACAAACAAACATATACATAATATTTGTTTTCCTCCCAGTGTAGAGCTGCTATTATATTTGTTACTTACCCTGGGAATAACTGTGTGTCTGAAGAGGCCTTTGAGTGAGTTATATAACCACAAAAAAGAGCTGAGTCCCTTAAATCATAGAATTATTTACTACATTATCTGAAAGCAATAATTCACAATATGTTAGTTGCTAACTGTTCATCTGACAACTGATTGCAAAATATTAACAAAACTATTACATACTCTGTCCAAAGTGATTCATTTTTTCTCCTACATAGATATGAACCTGAATTCTTTCATTGAGTACTTTTTGTTCTTTCCTTGGCATTCTTGTATATTGCACAGAAATCCTAATTTGTAGTAGAAAATATGCCAATATTTTTGATGGCATTGACTCATGAAGCTCATCTCCATAAGGTACTGTACCTCAAATGGTTGCTTATTGTTGAACAATGATGCAATGAAGGTATTTTAAAGTGAAAATTTGTTGAGCAAAGGTTATTCATTTTTATCTATAATATTTATATATTTAAATAGTAAGTAAAATGAAAGGAACAATGTGCTTTCATTAACAGTGGGGGAATTAAAAGGAATTGGTTTATTTTTTGAAGTCAGGGAATAAGATTCAATCAGATACTAAATTTATGAAGAACACTCTCACTTGGGATTGTCAGAGGTAGATGTACTGTGAATCCAGAATAATAAAATATGATTATACCACCATAATATTGGTTAATGCAATCAGTACTATTGCTATGTTTCATAATTATTTCAGTTCCTTAAATTTTTCTTGAATATAAGGATATAATTCCCTGAGGAGCAGAAAGAAATGCTATCATCGAACATGGTTTTTCTGAAAGTGAAGGTAACATTCCCAAGAAAATCTCTCCATTTTTTTTTTACTTTGATCAAGTTTCAAATATTTGTACTTAAGAGATGCAGCTTTCCCATGGTTCCCACAATGGCAGTGGTGGTGGAGTCACTGTCCCTTTGAATGGATCAATTTTGGGACACTGATACTTCATTCAGAGGGAAGAAATTGAAGACAGGACACACAAAGAGAAGCTAGAGTGAGGTAATGAGGAAGATAGAAAAGTCAGGACAGATGGAACCATTTATTTCTCTCTGATGAGATATAATTCACACATTCAGTAAAGACAAGAAAAGAAAGTGAAGATGTGATTATGAGTGGGTAAGTGGCACGCGCGCGGGCGCGCGTGTGTGTGTGTGTGTGCGCGTGCGTGTGTGTGTGTGTGTGTGTGTGTGTGTGTGTGTGTGTGTGTGTGTGTGTGTGTGTTGAAATTGCCTCAACTCTACTTCAGTGAACTAGATTTGTGACATGAACATTTAATATTTGGTGTATATACAGACTAATAATTAAAAACATTATACTCAACATTTTATAAGAGATTATCATTTACCTTACCAACAGTATCCTTTCCTGTGAAGACCCATGAATTTGGGAACAGGATATATTTCACCTTAAGTATATTTATTAGTCCAGTCACTTTCAGTTAGGTTTCTTCCCATTATGGGAATAAAAGTTGATCCACTCTATTTTATTTTCTTCAGATAAATCCCAGGATGTAAAATCACAGGCTTCAGGTAGTGTAGAGCTCCATATATGCTGGGTGATTAGAGGCAACATCATCCAGAAAGCTCCTGCTAGTTTGTAATTAATTAACATTGTCTTTGATTGGCATAGTGTGCTATATTATCCTAGCAAATCATGTTTATCGGTTGTGATCTTTAGTTTAATTGGCAACATGATATAAGTTAGAATCACCTTGCAAAAGAGTTTCAAAAAGACATTGTCTAAATCAGGTTGGCTTGTGGGATTTTATGAAGTGGGTATCTTGGTCAGTGTGGGAAAATGCAGCCTGATAGTGGGCTACACAGTATATTGTGTAAGAGTAGAAGAATGCTGTTGAGCTCTAAGAACACATACATTCATTTCTTCTGCTCCTGGTTATGGACATAGTGTGACTAGTGTCTTCAGATTCCTTCCTTGACTTCCTTACAAAGATGGATTATAACCTGGAATTTTAAACAGACTATACACTCTCTCCATAAAGTTATTTTATCAGAATATTTTCCTACAGAAACAGAAACTAAACTAAACTAAACTAGAACATCACCCTTTTGATAACCTTTGCAACCTAAAAGGCTACATGCATAGCAGCAACATATTTATTTCCTTCTGCCTCATTTATGACATTGATACATGTTTTCCCTTAGAAATGTTGCTGTCTGTATTGATGTGCTATAGGTCTAGGTAATTTAGACACATGATAATTTATCAGTATAATTACCACTTGCTTAATATGTTTTGTTTTGGTTAAAACAAATTGTTGTTCCTCATCATCTTCTCTTGAAGATGATTGCTCATGAGGGATGATTGACTTTAACTTATTTAAGTCAATACTATACTGTGTGTTCTGGTTTGGTGGTACCCTTTAATTGAAATACTAACTTTTCAGGAAGACAATTTCCAATCTCCACACTGTAGCTATTATTGGAATCATTATTTCTGTTATTTTGCAAGTGTCATAATTGAAACCAGAGCCTTAATTATGGTAAATAATTGCTACTACCACATGTAATTCTTCTCTATTGAATACACAAACTAGATAATGTGTCAATAAATAGTAATATCTGGAAAATGTTTATGTGGGTTTTTTTGTTTTTTGTTTGTTTGTTTGTTTTTCAAGACAGGGTTTCTCTGTGGCTTTGAAGGCTGTCCTGAAACTAGCTCTTATAGACCACGCTTGCCCGGAACTCACAGAGATCCGCCTGCCTCTGCCTCAAGAGTGCTGGGACTAAAGGCATGGGCCACTACAGCCTGGTTATCTGGGCTTTTTTGTTTGTTTATTTTTTGAGTATGTTTTAAATTAATGTTTGGATCTGAACTGCCTCCAATGGATAGATATTCAGATTTGGCACCACCCTGTAGTGCTGAGGAATGGTGATGAAAACCCTAGGAGGTAGTGTCTCCTGCCACATTTGTGCTTAAATTGGATGTTGGGCAAGTGTCCTTATGATATGATTGAGCATCCTTTGGGTATATGTTGAAGAGTGGTAGTCTTGAGGTGTATTGATTCCCCATAGTCTGAGAAACCACCATACTGTTTTCCAAAATGGCCATACAAGTTTGCACTCCCATCAGCAGTGGAATAGTGTTTCCCTTATTCCACATCCTTCCAACATAGGCTGGCATCTGTGTTTTTGATCTTAGTTATTCTGACAGGTATAAGTTGTTTTGGTTTGCATTTTCCTGAGGGCTAAGTTTATTGAACAGTTCTTTAATTGTCTC